AAACCCTGATTTACTGACCAGACACTTACTCTCAACATAGACATAACTAACACTTTCTAACTACTTTTGAAATTTTTAGGTGCAAAATTTTGAGTAGTGTTTAGACTCTTAAAGAGTAACATCTTAAGAAGTCATGCAACTACATACAAGACTAGCCCAATTTGGAATTACAGTCCAAAATAATCGAGCTAAATTATCATTACGAGGACATAAACCCGGCTCTTGAGCCCGTGGCAGTTCAATTACATTGTATCTTCAAGTCAGATACACCCTGCAAATAGACTAAATCTAAACCATATATTAAGGCAGTAGTGAAGTGCACTTTCTCAATGTCTTATATCAATATCTCCGAGAAAATATTCTTAGTATAGAGCATCTAAGCTTTAAATCAACATTATTTATTCCTCACCTTGAGGCTCAGCAACAGCCACGATTCAAATGCTGAAAACAGAAGTGAAGTAGCAATGCCTCCCAAAATCACCCACCATCAGGACCTTCGTTTGAGGAGAATGCCTTGGTGATGGCAGCTCAAATTCAGGTTATGCAGTCACTTCACCCAAGCCCTCTTCGCCTCTGATTTCAGGATAAGATGCATGAGACACTGAAAAAAAATCTATGACAGGTGCGCAGCAAGATATAATAATAAACAGAAAAGTTATCTCACTGTTTGTCAGCCAGAGATCCAACAATTGTTCCAAAGAGCATGGAAGACCCAAAACCAGCAATGAAGAGTTGTCCGATCTCCACCTTTCCGCATATCCATATGTACTATAAAGTAGTACACAATATGGACCTTGTAGCCAATCTCCACTTTAACCATAGAAACGGCAACCCATTGATTTCCATAAAACTAAAACAAGCAACTCCAATCCCAACTTGATATTTTAAAAAATAGCACGATCACAGGTGAAGTTGTGCAGTCTACCACAACCCGACAAGAAGCTACCTCTGATAATAAATTCGATTTGTGCATTTTTTTCAATTTCCGCAATCACAAAAACCATTCTCCTCAGTCTCAATGACGAAAAAACGTAATTAAGATCAGCAAACATATAAACTAAAATAAATTCAATAAATCAACCACTTTAAGAGATAGACAACTTAACTAAATTAAAATGTCCTTTTAAATACCATCTCATCTAACATCATTCCAATCAGAAAGCCAAGTTTAAATAAGACAACGAGCGGAGTAAACAAAAAGTGTAATGCAATGCACAGTGTAGAAAGGCACTATTAACCAAAAAAGAAAGAAAGAAAAAAGAAAAAGAAATCACAATTTCCAGAACTGACACCGTCACTACAATCAGAGACTCTAATCGTCAGGATCCGTCCGCCTGAAACGCTTTCGATTTCTCGCTACAATCAATTTCACAAATAACAGGACGCAAGGTAATAACAAACAAACAATGGCGTCCTTGATTCAATTATATTTCGGTGATATTAATATTCCGTGACGAAAAAATAAAAGGAAATTATGGGCGAGAGAAAAAACAAATATAGGGCGAGCATTGAAGGTATTGGAAATAGAGAAATGAAAAGAAGGAAGAGGCAGAAAGCGGAATGAGAGAAGCGAAGGAAGAGATCGAGCGAGATCTAAAGAGATGGAGAGAGATCTGTACCCATCATGAGGGAATAGACAAGAAGGTAGTTGTTCTTGAAGGAATTGAATGCTGAAGATGTGTTGATTCGGTCTTTGTTGCTCTTGCTCAGTTCCAGAGCTGCCACAACCGCGGCCAAACCACCAAACACCGCGTAGAAGAACAACTCCATTTTCACTCACCCAACGATTTCTCTGTCTTTCTCTTTCTCTTTCTCTTCCCGTGCGAGTTCAGTGAGAGAGGAACCAAGCCAGGGAGGGTTATATATATGCCTCTAAATGCTGCTTTTATCCGCTGCAGCCACTCCACCCCACCCACCTAAATATATCAATAGAGAAAATTGCATTTTGGTATTTGGATTCATTAAATGGATATTAAATTAAGTTCACGGTGTATACTTGAGATAGTTTTCAGCATACGCTTCTCGTTAATATGGTTTTTTATTTTGTCTTGACATCCATTTTGTTACGTTGTGTATTTATGATTCTGAATGTTCTCTGTTTTTTTTAACTTTAATTTGTCAGAGGGGCTTTGACCAACAATGGCTATCATTAACATTCTCAAAGGCTATATTTCTTGGAAATGGCCTTGTTGCTATTTTGTCTGGTCTGTTTGGAAACGTCCTTGTTGATACATTGGCTCTTGGACCTGTGGCCCCCTTTGATGCTGCTTCATGTTTTCTTGCTATTGGTATGGCCATCATACTATCTTCATGGACGGAAAATTTTGGGGATCCTTCCGAGAGCAAGGACTTGCTTACCCAATTCAGGGGTGCTGCTGTTGCCATTGCTTCAGGTGGATTCCTTACCTTCATTTATTTTCTCGTTGTTTTTATGCAATGGTTTGATACAGTAAAGTTGAACTCCGAAACTCTTTACCCGTCATATTAAAGTTGAACTCCGAAACTCTTTACCCGTCATATTAATCTATATATCAGTTTACATGTAAAAAACTTGTACTTCATTGTAACCAATAGTAGCTGTAAACTTTTTCTCCAAACTATATAATAGGTGTTATTTAAGCTCCCTTAAATGAAACTGATCCAGCAAAGTGATACTTTCGTATTTCTTATTCTGTTATTATTTATTTTATTCAACTCATCTTGTATTCTTTGTTCTCAGATGAAAAAATTGCCTTGCTGGGTGCCATACAGTCTCTCTTTGAAGGTTCAATGTACACCTTTGTGTTTCTATGGACTCCTGCATTGAGCCCAAACGATGAAGAGATTCCCCATGGTTTTATTTTTGCAACTTTCATGTTGGCTTCAATGTTGGGAAGCTCACTTGCATCCAGGTTGATGGCCCGATCTGCACTCCGAGTAGAGAGCTATATGCAAATTGTTTTTGCAGTTTCTTCTGCTGCTCTGATGCTCCCAATTTTGACCACTGTATGCTATTCTTCCAATATACTCCTCTCATTCCCCTAGTATTCTGATTAACATCTCACACCATTTTTCTATATATTGTCTTTGTTATTGTGTAACAGTTCTTGGTAGTTCCTACTGGGGTGAAAGGTGGAAACATCTCATTCACTGGCTGCATTCAACTTCTTGGCTTCTGTGCTTTTGAGAGTTGTGTTGGCATATTCTGGCCATCCATTATGAAGATGAGATCTCAATACATTCCCGAGGAGGCCAGGAGCACCATCATGAACTTTTTCCGCATTCCTCTGAACATTTTTGTGTGTGTCGTGCTGTACAATGTATGTTACACAATCTTCTACTTTAATACAATGCGTTATCTTAATAGTATCATAATTTTTTATTTGTTTTTGACTGATTGTGTATTTTCTCTGTGCAGGTTGATGCATTCCCCATCACTGTTATGTTTGGCATGTGCTCAATTTTCCTTTTGGTGGCTTGCATCTTGCAAAGGCGACTGATGGCGATTTCAGATAAGCCAAGTAAGACCCTTACACAAATTATCAATTATCTGCTGCTTAAGTTGATTTAGAAATAGGATTGGGATGGGCAGAAACCTTATTTAAACTAATTGGTTGTGTTTTAAATTTATCCCATCTGGGAACTACTGGTATAGCTTTGGTTTATTAATCCTTCCTAAGGTTGTTCTTGTAGTTCTCTGACAGTTCAGCAAAGCCAAACAATTTCTCGGCTGTAAGATGTGATATTGATTCCTATTTTGGTTAACTTGGGAAGCTTCTTTTATCTGGAAAAGGATTAATTCACGTGCTATCCCTCCTTTTCTTTTATAAGAATCCAATACTAGAGCTGTGTGTCATTTGGCATGACCCTATAAAAATAAACGTTCTTACTTTTGCTGGGATTATTTTTGTTTGAAACAGAAGCAACAGATTGGCAACTGAAGGATAGGGACGGCGAGTCTGAACCATTGAACATTTAACTGGTTTTTGCCCGAGTTTTGCGAAGTCACTGAACTTAAGCTACGTGAGTCTTACTAATGCATTTTTCTGTCTACGACTGTGTACGATGCAATCTGAGTGAAGGTAAAACTGATGCTCACAAAGAGAAGAAATTGAAGCAAAAAGCAGAAAAGGACAAGAGGAGCAATTTTTTAAGTGTTTTTAGTATAAATATCGTAGTGCATTAGATTTCTATTGGCTATTATTACTT